AAGTTTTCCTGTATAATTTCGTCAAGCACTGCTTGCATTCATGATTCTTTTTCTACTCCCTCAGGGAGGCCGATGATCCGAATATTCAATTTTCTAAGGTAATCCTTCATTTCTTGCATCATTTTATTAGTTTCGCTGAGGCTTGTCTCCAGCTGTTTAATTCGCTGGTCACCTTCATTTTGTATGTCTTCTGTTTCAGAGATCCTTTCCTCTGCCGCATTTATTCTGTTGATCAGGCTTTCAATTTTATGATCCTGGGCATCCAGTTTGGTTTTGATTTGTTGTATTTCAGCGATTATGTGGTTCTGGAAGTCTTCCAGCTTTGTGTCCACGTCTCTGATAAATTTTAGCACTATTTTTTTAAATTCCTTGTCTGGTAACTCTTCCATGTCTTCACCTCGCATCTCCGATATTAATAATGGCTTTTGGCCCTTGTTCGGTGGGGTGCTGGCTCTTTCATCTGGAGCACAACTTTTTCTGGTGGTTTTTCCCATTGCGTTGGTGTATTTTGGTGGGGCCAATGGACCCGTGTGTTGAGGGGTCGTCAAGTGCTTTCCTGTAGAGGTTGGAGCCTGCAGGTGTGGTGTTGCAGGGCATGGTAATTTTCAAGGCACCATTGGTGCGTTCTCAGGGCCCGGGTCTGTAGGGCACCACCTTGGGGGCCCAGTGGATTCCAGGCACACTCTGGGCACTTCTTCTACAGGTGTGACACCCCAGGGCATGGAGGGATGGAGGCGCTCTCTGGGCGTGCCCCCTGCATGGGAATCCACAGGATGTAGAAGGTTTTATGTGCTTTCTCCCTGCGTTCTCCGTGTCAGGGACTGCAGGGTTTTTAGAGCCCACCTGGTGTGTCTCCCACACACGGGACTGTGGGTGAGGCACTTTCTGGGCGTGGCTCTTGTGCAGTGATTCCACCACTCGTGGTGTATGGGTGTTCAGAGCCCCCCCGGTGTGGCTCCCCCACACAGGACCGTAGCGGAGGAGTGACCCAGGCGCCCTGTTAAAATGACTTCACGGCCGGTTCACACAGTGTCAGTGTGGCGCAGGAGTTTTCAGAGCTCTTCTGGTGGGTCGCCCACGCTCAGAACTGCGGGGTGGGAGGCGAGGAGTGGGCAATTCACACTATGGGAGTGGCACCTGCGTGCCAGGGACACACAGCACTACACTTCCCAGCTCAGAGCCCTCCTGACTCCTGCGCTGTGGAGGCGGTTGCTGCAGGCGGGACCGCCCAGCCCGCTCGGCGCGGCATTCAGAGTCCTCCTGGTGCTGTCGCCCACCCACAGGGTATCAGGGTGTGGGGAATTCCAGACCCTCGCTGGCAGCCTCTGTGCGCCGAGATGCACTGGCCCACTCAGTGCAGGAATATCTGGGGCGCTTTCCCCCGTGTCTTCTCAGCCCCCAAGACCACTGTGCGCCGCTCCCAAGGCACAGACCTGGCAGTTTCAAGGCGCTTGCCCTGTGTTCTCAGAGGCTGGAGCTTCTGCAGCCCCTGCAGGGGGAAGGGTAGAAGTAGCACCCCAGGGGGTTGGGATTTGCGCCCAGTCCCCGGAATGCAGAGGCTGTTAACCCTTCCTTGGCTCACCGAACCTCCGGCTGTTGCAGTCTGCTTCTGCTGGTGTTGAAGACCTCTGCCGGTGAGGATCCCTCCCAATTTCCTTGTCTCTGGGTCGGCTGCGTCTCTCGTCGGGCCATTCTCAAAGGTGACTCAGCAGGTCTGGAGTGGGATGTCGGCTTCTCTGTCCCTGTTTTGTTTTGTTCTCGTTGTTCTTCCGAGTTGTGTGGATCTTTTTGGCTCCACACTGTCCAGGGAACTTCACGCACCTCTCCCTGCGGTTTTTTGCTGTTCCTCTTTGCTGCTTCTGTATCGCTCTATCCCTCTCTCACTGGACGCTCCCTCACAGCCTTCCTCCTACGTCGGCCATCTTAACTCCCCCTGCCCAGCTGTTTAGGAAATGAGCCAGTGGACAGAAGATGCCATATAAATTCATTAACACTTCACTTCAAAGTCATGTATTTTTTTAATTTTTAAAAATTAGGGCCCGATGGTGTGGCCTAGTGTCTAAAGTCCTCACCTTGAATGAGCCAGGATCCCATATGGGTGCTGGTTCTAATCCCGGCAGCTCCACTTCCCTTCCAGCTCCCTGTTTGTGGCCTGGGAAAGTATTCGAAGATCGCCCAAAATCTTGGGACCCTGCACCTGTGTGGGAGACCTGGAGGAAGTTCCTGGCTCCTGACTCCGGAACAGCACAGCACCAGCCCACTGTGCTCACTTGGGGAGTGAATCATGAGATAGAAGATCTTCCTCTCTATCTCTTCTCCTCTCTGTATATCTGACTTTGTAATAAAAATAAATAAAATAAATATTTAAAACAATTTTTGCAGAACTATTCATAACAGCTTTATTTCTAATATCTTAGATCTAGAAACAATCCAAATGTGTTTCAGTGGATAAATGGATAAAATATGGCACTCCTGTACAACAGAATACTACAAGGCAGGAAGGAAGGGAGAGAGAAAGAGAGAAAGAAAGAAAGAAAAGAAAAAGAAAGAAAGAAAAGAAAAAGAAAGAAAGAAAGAAAGAAAGAAAGAAAGAAAGAAAGAAAGAAAGAAAGAAAGAAAGAAAGAAAGAAAGAAAAAAAAATTCTGTTCCATGCAGTTACTTGGATGGACCTTGAGAGTGTAGTATAGTGCTGAGTTATTGGTATAATGCTACTAAGTCACTCTCTGAGGTTGCATATTGTGGGCTCCTATTTACACCACACTCCAGAAATGACAGTCATGGAGAACAGATGGGTAGCTGTCAAGAGGCAATGTTGGGGAAGTTCTGGCTTAAAAGGAGAGAAGATGAGGAAGATTCCTTGTGGCTATGAAATCACTTTGTATTCCAACGGCAGTAGTGATTCCCCAAACTTTCATGTATCATAGCATTACCACAGACCTCCCCAAATATATCTGAAAACTAGTGAAATTTGTAGTTTATTTAATAGCATTGTGCCAATGTCAGTTTCCTGGTTTTGAAAATTAAGATGCTATCATTGGTGACAACATGGGTGATGGATACACTTTGTTTTGGCAAGTTTTTGTAAGTCTCAATTTAAACATTTATGGAAGATGGAAGGAGCACAGGAAGGGTGAGAAACAAGGTTATTATCCCTGATGTTCTGTAAAGCCAGAAAACCTTACATTTGTTCAAATGTCAACTAAACTGGGAGACACAACTTTTAGTAGAGGCACAGGTGCACGACTGGACCCCCTGCTTTAGACCAGGCATTCTGCGTGTGCCAGACAGAGATAGCAAGCACAACACTGCAAGTCCTTGGAATCCAGGAAAGCCACAACTGCCAACCCTCCTCTGGCTCCCCACCCCATTACAAGGCCTACCCTTGCGTGCTCCAGGTCCATTCTTGCCTCAGTGTCTTCTCAAACTCCAGCACCACTAGTGGCCTTCCCCTGCTCCAGTCTTGCCTTGCTCCTCACATGCCTCACACCTGGCCAGCCCACCCTCCTGCCCCTTCTCCCTTTGCCTTCTCCTCATGCCACTCTCCCCCTTGAGTCCCTCCCACCTGCTCATTCTCCACCCTCCCCACTCTCTTCCCAAGTCCTCTCAGAGTTTCCCTCATGCCCATTACCACAGCTTTAGCTTCAATTATTCCTTACCTGAAATCAAGAGTTACTTCTCTCCCACATCTTTCTCTCATCTCCTCTCTGTCTTCCCCTCACATCTCTCTCACTAGAATTCTTCCCTTTACCCACTACTACTGATCTCACCTACCCTCACCTCTGGAGCCATTTGGGAAGCAAGCCAGCAATGGACGATATTCTAAAACTATTATCTCATTCTCTCTCTCTCCACCACCCTCAAATAAGTAACTAAATCTTAAAGAAAAAAAAATAACTGATTTGAATATTTACTTTAAAGGCTCATGGGACACCCAGAATATTCCACAGAGGCTTTTGTCACAAGACGTCAGCTGCACCAGAAGGGTCACACTAAGGTGTAAGGGAGGGAGGGGCCCTATGGGGGGCAGGGAAGTAATGGAGACTCAGCCCCTGGGAGAGCACCCTCAGCACCAGAGCCAACACTGAGCCCCTCTCCTATGGGTTTCCCAGCCTCTACCAAAGAAGGAGAATCACTCAGGGTCACAGGGCACTTCTCAGACCTACCCACTAGGGAGCAGATGCTCAGGGTCACAGCTCCTGACTTAATACTGAAATATGGAAACAGGGGTCCAGAGAAGGATGCTGGGGGAAATGAGTGCATGTGGGACCCATCAATCATGTTATAGAAGGAGATGTCCCGTTTATCATAGTCCAGGAAGACCCCCACTCTGTAGAGATCCTGCCTAAGGGACAGAGAATTCTTTTCCTTGGCCCAAGCATGGTATTTATCTACAAATCTCCCTATAACCCAGAACCCCTTCTCTGGGGATTCTTTATATGGCCCTATCCTTGTCACATGCTCCCTACAGACCCCCAGAGTCCACTCACTACCCATTTCATCCCTGATCTCTACCTCCCAGTAACACCTTCCTGATGTGATGCTCTTAAAACCCAACACACTGCAGCGGACATCTGGGTTCATACAGGTGTCCCTCCAGGTCACACTGGTTCCTTCAGCAGAGATGGCAAGGTCGGCATGGGCAGTGCCTGGATCCAGAGTGACAGACCCTGCAGAAAGAACTCCCAATCAGGCAAGGTCTTTTCTTACCCAATAAACAAGGTGCTAAACCAACTCCAAAGCACCCAGCTGCATTGGTGAGGGGCAAGGCCCCAAACTAAGGACCTTGAGATTCAAGTCAATGGCCTCCTAACAGGAGGAGGAACCACAATGCTCTGAGAGTCAGATGTGTCGCAAAGACCTGAGAACAGACCCATGTTTGTTCCCTGTAAGTCCACACCCCACTACTGCTAATGGTATCAGCATCTACATCACCACAGGGAACTGAAGGAGAGGACAGAGCCATGGGGACACAGGAGGAGCACCCAGGAAGGCCATGAAGTCACTCACAGGCCTGGAACTCTTCCTTCCGCCAATCTACAAGAGAACACACATTCATATCAGGTTCTGCATGGACTGCACACATCAACTGAGCATCTGCTCCTCTGAAGCAAGAATGTGCAAGTGATGGGAAATGCGTATACATACAGAGAGAGCAGAACAAAATCCTTCCTGCAAAGGCCAAACATAAAACTAACATCACAGAAATGAGAAATTTGACCCTGACATTTAAAAAAAAAGCCATTACCTAAGTTTTGCTATCAACTTGTGTTAATTTCCTAGCCACAGAATCATCCTGAAACCTAGATTTATCTGAGAGTAAATTGGGGATATCAAAATTTCAATTATGTATATTATTCTATTTCATTTATGTACAGAGTACTGACTAATCTGAACTTCAGGCTGCTTCTAACCCATGGTGGAGGGAGCGCTATTGACTAAGAGGAAGACAGAGTCTGACTCCCAGAACTGTCCCAAGAACCTGAAACTATGATAGGGACAAGAGCTTTGCTGGTGGGATAAAGGTTCAAAACTTTAAGTTAGAATCCACTGCATTATCCAGTGTAGCATATTCTAATCAGATGAACCCTGAAAAGGTTCTCAATTTGTGTGTGCTCAGAAGTTATACTATGATAGAAACAAGAGCTAGAAAATGCAGACATCATTGGATTTGCAGACAGAGCAGTGAGGCCTTGAGCCACAGCAGGCAAGTCACCTCTAGAGGCTGAAAGAGGCCACAGTCAGAAAGGAAGTCAGACTCGCATGCATTTATTCCAGTGAGACTTGTTCAGACTTTATATTACCCCTAAAAAAGAATGAACCGTTAGACATGTAAGGAATTCTACTGAAGTAAAAGATTTTTGTGTGAAAATAACACATCACATTGTTCTTGTTAAAAAAAAAAAAAAAGCACCTAATCAGGGGAAGTCATTAGTCCTCACAGATTACTGATTAGGATCACTGATTAGGATCTGTGCAATCCAGAGCAGGGGGGTACCCCAGAGTGAGCAGGCAGACAGGAGGAAGCTTGTATCCCAACTCTGAAGACTCCTAGATGCTCACCAAGGAATATCAGTACGAGCTCCGAGGACTACATCCCAACCACCAAGGAGACCACGGGGAATTGGAGTGCCTTCGGAGGCCAAGAATTCTGAGGTCACCTATTTCCATTTGGGTCTCACACATGGGATGGAAGAAGCCCATACCCCGCCTTGCAGGATCCAAGGTCATCAGAACAACAACCAGGAGCACTGAGAGGTCCATAGAAACAAAACAGTAAACTTCCTTCGGGACAAGGGAGAGGAGCTTTCTCTGGTTCTTGCCTGGTTCTAATTTTGGGTCCCCACTCTCTCTCATAATGACCATCAGGATTGCTCCAGAAACCCCTCAAAACAAATTAACAAATAAACAAATAAACAAAAAAAAAACTAGAATAGATGGAGAACAGTGAGGAAAGCTTAGAAATAGGAAATGGGCAGGGGGGATGCACTTATAACTCACTGGGTGGGACACGAAGATTGGTTGCTCCTCACTAAGGTATTGAGGATTTCTCTGCACACGCCTCCTAAAACCGTTCACCTAAACTGTTGACATATGTCTTGTTACAATTATAGAGCTAGACTACCCGAAAAACAGCCAGGTTCTGCAAAATCAGGCTTCAACACTATGAACTGCTAAATACTAAAATTAAAATAGACATGAGACAGCTGAATAGTAATCTATAGCCATTTTAAGGTGTATAGAACCCAGCTCTATATAAACTAATATAATGTCAATTGTAATGTCAATGTAGAAGTCATAGGATGTGGTTCAGAACTTATGCTCTTTTTTTGTTGTTGTTGTTTTCTTTCTCTCTCTTTGAACATGCTGGTTACACAATATCATATCAACTAATTCTGGTACGTTATAAATTGTTACTGATGTAATGTCGGGGCTTTCAATTGATTGGGATGATACTCTTTCGGCTGTACCTTCAGACCAGAGACTGTCTCCCCATGAAACTGTTGAACTTATCTGCACAATAAGATGCTGGACTCTATGTTTTGTAGATGCTTGCAAGGAAAAAAAAATCTCAACTGAATTTGATCTGTGGTAATGCAACAAGATGGAAGAATCCACCATGGGGGGGGGGAGTGGGTTTTGGGGAGGGGAGGGGGTAATCCCAGTGCCTGTAAAACTGTGTCTCATGATGCAATGTAATAAAAAAAAAATGATCTGTGCAATCTACATCCAAGTGCTTGGGATTGATGTCCAGCTCCAGTTTCCAATGCTTTCTTCCTGCCTGCACAATCTGGGAGGCAGCAGATGGTGAATCACATAGTTGTATCCCTGCCACCCATGTGGGAGTACAAGAATGGGTTATTTGGCCCCAGAATAGTACTGAACAAGCCTAGCTCATACAGCAATTACATGGAAAACAAATGTGTGTTTGCGTTCTCTCTCTCTCTCTCAAATACTTTTTTAAAAACTCAGCAGCAAATATTCAACCTAGTGGTTCAATTCCAAATACTGACTTCACCTTCATTTGACTATGCAGACCCTGAGAGGCCGAACTGTGGGGTTGGGAAGCTGACATCACATAGGAGTCCTGAACTGAGTGCCCAGCTACTGGGTTTGATATGGCCCAGCACTGCTATTGACAGAAAATGCAGAGAGAACTAGCAAATGGTCTCTCTCTCTCTCTCTCTCTCTCTCCCCCTCCCTGTCCTCATTCAGCCACTCCCTGCCTACCAAATAATCCATCCAGAATACTCAGAATGCTGCAAATAATTTCAGATATTTCATAGATACCAACACAAAAATCTATCCACAAACAGCCTGGACTGTCTGTTTCCATATTTAGAAAGTTTACTCAGAGTAACTCATTATTCACCAGCCAAGCATGTGTAGAGGAAAACACACAGATTGAACAGTGGTCAGAGCGTGAAACAAAAAGAAGAGCAACATTCAAGAGGGACAGAAAAAAACAGGAAAGCAAAATTAATACTTTCAGCATAGGGATCTGGGGATAAGAAAGGTCATTGAACTAACAACACTCTTAGTGACACTTGATGTCTAAGCAGGTGAGTGCAGTTTCCAGATCTTCTAGAGACCAGCTATTCCTGATCTGGACAGCTGTCATCCCGCTGCTCTCTCCCTGTGGTCACCACCCTAATGGGAAAAAATCAGCTGAATAAGATCTTGCAGAGCATGTCTGTCACCCTAACAGTGACTTGCAGTAGATGGAGAGCACAGAATAGAAGCAGAGCTGTGATTCAGACAAGGAGTCCCTGCAGTCTTCCTGTGGAGGCCACAACAGGGACAGGAAGAGCAGAGACACCACTACCATACTGGAGGGAATTCACAGGTAGTGGAAGGACAGGGCAAGGGGAGGGGAGCAAAGGAACCGTCAGCTCACTTACCAGCATACAGAAGCGCCTTCCTCCAGCCTGAAAGGAAACACACCTGTGAGACTGCAGCCACCACCTGCTCAACCACACCTGCCCTCTGTGCGAGGGGAGAGACAGCAGGAGGAGAGAGGCTGCAGAGGAGTGGCCTCCTACACTGTCAGACAGCAGAGGATTGTGGGAAATTCCCTGGGCCATAGATCAGGAAGCCTGTATGACAGAGTTGCACCCCTGTCTCACCACTGTGTGACACTTGACTATCAGTTCCTTGTCTGGGCCTCAGAACCCACAGGCTCCTATGCCACTTACTCCTCGGTGATAATGATAATAACAATAATAATAAAAGAACCACACACGATAAGAAAATTAATGAAAAGCATAACTGACTCTGTAATCATGACAATTAGTTATTAAGCAGCATTTCCAGGAAGTATATCAAGACAAAAAGAGAATAAGGGGTCAGCACCATAATACAACACATGAACCTAATACTTACAGGGCCATCATCCTAAATAAAGCACAGTTCAAATCCCAGCTGCACCATTTCTGATCTAGATGCCTCCTGATACACATGGGAAAGCAGAAGAGAAAAGTCCAAGTGCCTGGGCCATTGCACAAATGTAGGAAACCAGCAAAAAACTCCTGGTTGCAGCCTTTTGTGGAGTGACCAGCAGATGGGAGGCATCCCCTTGACTCTCACTCTCTGTCTCTCTGTAATTCATTCAACTAAATAAAATAAATCCTCAAAATGAAAAATGAAACCAGAATGAGAAGACTCATCATCCTCATACAATATTTCTGGACAGAAGCATCACTACTCACAGAAATGTCCATCTCCCATTACATTCCCACACCTGGTCAGCAGCCCAGGCCTCTCCCTATCCATTCTCAAATGTACCTGCGAGAAACAGCAGAGAAATGGCTCTGCTGGTGGCATTTTGGGAATGAGATGGGAGCTCACATTCCCAAAATCAATGAGCCATTCATTTATATCCCACCTCTCATGAAATCTAGAGCATCTGCTTTTGGCTTCCTGGTGCACGCCAACGGATCAGTGCATTGCACGCTAAACAGTAACAACCCTCATAAGGAGAACGGGACAGAATTGGAGTAAAACAGGATGCAGTATGTTCTCCTTGGGACATTTCACACCCTTGTCCTAAAGCATAGACAGGAAACAGTTGCACAGATGAGAAAAAGCACTGTGAGCAGGTCTCTACCTCCCACCACCAAACACTGCAGTCAGCAGAGAGAAGGGCCCATGTCTAGACAGAAACAAGGAGGGGATACAGCTGGGCTCAGTGGGACAGGAAACCTCAGGACATCTCCAAAGTCACTCACCAGCCTGGTACGCTGCCTTCCTCCTACCTGAAAAGCACACAGGGAACAAGTGAACTGAGAGCCACAGTGTCCTCTCCAAGGGACAGAGTCAGGAGGGAGAGCAGAGCTTACCGAGTTCTGCCTGGAGCTCATCTGAAAGAGAGTGGAAACATCATCAACTCCACTCCAGGAAGAAGAGAGACAAAGTGCCTGGAGACCCTACAGCAAAAACCTTCTCTGGGGACCAGTTTTGTGGCCCAGTACGTTAAGTCACCTCATACAACATCGGCTATTCCATATCAATGACAGTTCAGGTATCTGCTGCTCTATCAGATCCAGTTTCCTGCTAGTCCTTGTGGGAAAGCAGGAAAGTGAGTGACTCAGAAGGCTTTGGCTTTGGCGTTCCCCAGCCCCAGCTGTTGTGGCCATTTGAAGAAAGAAAAAAAAAAACCACTTAAATAGAAGATTTACACTCTCTCTCTCTCTCTCTCTCTCTCTCTCTCTCTCGTGCGCGCGCATGCTTTCTCACTCTCTCTTCACATATTTATTTTATATTTGTGCTTCTTTAAAAATAATATTTTCAAGACTTTAAGGTAAATAAATCTTCAAAAGAAAAAAGAAACAGCCTTCTCCAATGGGACCAGGGCACAGGTCCTGCGCTGCAGCCATTTGAATGGCCAAGAACAATCTCCTCGGGGACCTTTACATTTGACACTGTAGCCATTAGCCAGCTACCCTCTGTAGATTTATTTTTTTCCCTTTGATAATAAATCCACTTTGGTTGTGAATACCTACCCTGTCCCTTTCTCTGTTCTGCATCTGCTTCCTAACATTCTCTATGTTCTAGAAAAGTTCTGACTTAGACCCACCCACACCTCCATACTTCTACCACTACCCCTTCATCCCTGTCCTTTCTGTGTCTCCACAGCATCTGCTCTGTGCCTGATGTCCTGGATGCCCCCTGCAGCTGCACCCATAGACACCAATCATTCAAGGTGGTCCCTCTCAGCATAGCTTCTGCCCCCACCCTGCCTGGACCAATCCTGCCTGGCCCCGCCCTGCTTACCTATGACCTTCAGCGCCTCCTCCTTTGCCTGCTGGTCTTCCTCCTTAGCCCGTTTCAAATCATTCCAATTCTGCCTCCTCCCCACCTTTGCAGAGTGCTCTCTCTTGGTGACAAAGCCAGCCACACCCAGTAGCAGCCCCAGCACAGTCAGACTTACAGCACAGGCTGCCTTCCAGGGAGAGGCCTGCGGGAAGAAGGGCTCTGTGCCCGGGGGAGACCCAGTCAGAAGTGCATTTCAAGCCCAACCAGCACACTCAGGGCCAACACCCTCTCCAAACCTGCTGGGAAAGAGAGGCAGCACTGACCTGGGATCGGGATGGCCATGACCTTCTCTTGGCCTATGATGGGATTGAGGATGGAGCAGGTCACATCCCCTGCAGAGCTGTCTTTCACCACCATAGCAGCCTCCACACTGAACAGACCTGCTGCATCTTGGGTGTGGGTCTCAGAGAACTCCAGTAACTTCTCTCCATGGATGTCTCTCCACTGCACCAGGGGCTCAGGGAACCAGCCTGAGGCCTTGCATACCACACAAACTCCATCCTTCTCTGGCCCTTCAATGTGCACTTGTGGGGCAGAGCCCAGGCCTGCAAGAGGGGAGGTGTGGAGAACTTGCAGACAATGTGGGGCACATGGTTTTACAAGGTTCTAGTATTGCGCAAATTCAGAGGAATCATGCATGTTGCATTCTGGGGACGCCATGGAAAGGGCATGCCATGAAGGAGACCAAGAGCCCTTGAACCCCTGGGAGTTATGGGCTGGAGGTACTTTTATTACTGAGGGTCAGAGACAACAGGAGAAAGCGTTTGATACCAGGACTTTATCCTGAATCGTTAGTCTTCGTGTCACTCTCTCTTGGAGCATCTGCTTCTAATCCAAATCTTCTCTTTGTAAATAAATAACTTCCAAAATTACACCACCTCCTCAGGTACGTTGCCTCATATGTACCTTTGCATGAGCTATCTCAACCAGGTTTCCTCTCAGAGACTTAAAACTAAACATTTCAGAACTCAATTGATAGTGTTGACTTATATGATAGACCTTGCCCTGTACCAAATACTTTGTTGCTTCCTCACATTCTGACTATGGAGTTGGTCATGTAATTTATTTGACCAGCAAAAGATTAATTTAACATTCAGAGGTTTGAAAAGCACTGGAGCCATTAGCTTTGCTTGAGCTCTAGTCTGGTATCTGCCTTACATTTTGACCCCTATCTATCTGCCTTTCCCCAACCCAGCCATCTGTGCTCTTAGGACACATGCACCCAGGCAAAGGATGGCATGGTTAGCTGTGGGTGGCCGTGGTCATCAGACCATTTATGCCCACTGCCTTCTCATTTCCACAGGGGGGCTCTTGGAATCTCACTGCAGTATTCAAGTGCCTAAACAGTGTCTAGGCTGAATATCTTCCTGGACACAGCAAGCAGTGTTACTACAGGACTTTCTATCTCTTACTACAGTATTGTCACTTCCTGCCATCCCCTCTCACTGGTTCTACCTCCTGCAATGGCCTCCTGATGTGTTATGGGCAAACTACAGTATGTCCCATAGCAAGGGTTTTACACCGAGAACTTCGTTGATTTAAATACTGTGTCCCCAGAAACATACAAGACATGATACCTACAACCTTTGAGCCATGCTTGGATTATCCATAAGGAAAACACATTCAGCTAAAACATTACGTAACAGCACAGATGCCCTCACTCCCCTCTCCATATCCTGATCCCCCAATTCCTGGTACACTTGTCCCCTCCATTTTTGTGTATCTTTTATCATCTCCTAATATCACCCAGGTATTTATTTATTTTCCTTTTTCTACCTCGGACTCTGCAATATAAAATTCAAGTCCAGTATCTTTTTCTCACTGATGATCTCTAGTGCCAAGAACAAGGCATGGCACACAACAGTGACTCCACATATGAGGTTAATACTGATATGACTGGTGCTATGTTACAGCATCTAAGTCTCTAGCTCTGTTTCTGTCTCATTCCCTATCCAGCTTGCTGCTACTGAGTCTTGGAAAGCAGTGGAAAGTAGCCCAAGACTTGGACCCTGCACCCACATAGGACACCTGGAAGAAGCTTCTACCTCCTGTCTCTGCTACACTGCAGTCAAATGAGTGAACCAGTTGGGAGAATTCTCTCTCTCTCTCTCTCTCTCTCTCTCTCTCTCTCTCTCTCTCTGTGTGTGTGTGTGTGTGTGTGTGTGTGTCTGTGTATGTGCCTCACTCTCTCTATCTGCTTCCTTACCCTATCTTTTGGCATTCCTTTAAAAATGAATATTTATTTTTAAAAAGATTAGCTTTTTTAAAATAAATGAGTGGGGCCTGACGCGAGATTGTAATGGTTAAGGTCCTTTCCTTGAATGCGCCGGGATCCCATATGGGCACCAGTTCTAATCCCGGCAGCTCCACTTCCCATCCAGCTCCCTGCTTGTGGCCCAGGAAAGTAGTCGATGTGCGGCCCTGCACGCACATGGGAGACCCAGAAGAGCTCCTGGCTCCTAGCTTTGTATTGGCTCAGCTCCAGCCATTGCGGCCACTTGGGGAGTGAATCATTGGACGGAAGATCTTCCTCTCTGTCTCTCCTCCTCTCTGTACATCTGCCTTTCCAATAAAATAAATAAATCTTAAAAAAAAAAAAAACAAGTGACTAAATTGGCTTTCCCTCACATATAAAATCAGATTTTTTACAATATGTTTTTCCTCCCAAATCCAATCTTATCAAAATCTGAATCTAGAGAATACAGACTAAGGTACTAACCTGCCACCTTTAGTTCTAAAACAGCCTCTTTATAGTAGCCTCCCTTCTTGAAGAAGCAGGTATATTTCCCGTTGTCTGAAACCTGGATATTCTGGATGCGCACGGCAGCCTCCCCTTTGGTCAGGCGTCCCCTCACCAGTGAGGTCCGTCCTGCATACTGAGGTATCAGTTCCTCATTCTGCTCCTGGCCATTCTGATAGATGAGCACCGGTTCTGAGACCTTAGTACGGAACCACCGCAGCTCCATGTCCTCCGCATTCATGGATGGATACAGGGAGCAGGGCAGAATGGCATCACCACCCAGCGTCACCACTATGGGGTGAGTGGGACCAGTTACCAGGAACTCATCTGTGGACGCAAACATAGGACTGAGAACACTGGGAGACATAGGCCAAGGGCAGAGATACACATACCATCAGGAGGGAGAACAGGTGGACTGAAAAGAAGTGCTGAAGGTGGGACCCCAAGATGAGGACTGAGCAGTGACAACTCTGCATCTTGATCAGATCAGATCTTAGATCACAAGGAAATTATGTCACAGATGCCCTCATTTGCTTGGCTGCTGGCCCCAACTCTCCCATGAGAAGAATCCTCTGCACCCATGAATCTCAACCATGAGCTTACACCAGAATCAAAAGTCAGCTTGTAAAACTCAGATCACAAGTCCTACCCAAAGGGTGTGATTGTCTGGAGTACAGGACATTCAAAACACCCCCCTAGTACCTGACACTGTTGGTCCAGGAACCATACATGGACATTCGCAACTCTGACTTGGTGTGTGTGAGGAGAGCCTGGACACTGACCACAGCATGCACCTGGCACCTCCTCAGAATTCCTGGATTCTTCTGCCACACCCAGAGGACCACCCACTCCACCACTCCATACCTGTGGAACTGTCCACTCCCACACCTAAGTTTATTTTTTCTACCTTTTCTACCCATATTCATCTTATGCACTACATTTTGAGGTGAATCTCAAACTCCAATGTTATTTCTACAGTGACCCTGCCCTTGGGGTCAACACTACTTATAGCCAGAATCTGGAAGACCAGTATCTCATATTGGAACCTGCTTCTCTGTTCATGTCCCTGCTTCTCTGTTTCAATTTGGTTCCCTGGTAATGTGCCAGAGAAATCAGTAGAGGATGGCCCAATGCAGGAGCTCCTGCACCCATGTGGGAGGCCCAGGGAAGGTTTCTGGCTTCAGACCAGCCCAGCTCCAAATGTTGTGGCATCTTGGGGAGTGAACCAACTGATAGAAATCTCTCTGTGTCTACCACTCACTCTCAAACTCTGCCTTTTCTTTTCTTTTTTTTAAGAAACTCTGCCTTTTCAAATAAAAGAAATATTTAAAAAGGAGGAGAAGTTCACCCCACCTGTGCCGCATCCTCACTCTTGGTGTCTGAACCTGGTGACAGGGTCACAGGGACACACTGCTTCAGGACAAGTTACCATACCCCAGCTGTGCCAGGGGCCCCTCAGCTCTGAGCTGCTCCATCATAGCCCAGCTGACATCATCACTCATCAAAGCATAGCTATAGACCAGACCTACCACTCCCTCCCCAGTACAATACACAAGATCCATAACCCTTCTCTGCTCAGAGCACTTCCCTCCTGTGTGTCCTCAGGTCCAGCAGCTGCACCCAGTACTGCCCTGACCACAGATCCTGCTCTTCTGCATCCCAGACCCACAGTCCTCTGCTGCTTCTTGCACCTGGGTACACTGCAGCCTTGCACCAGCTACTGCTGTGGAACCATCTTTCCTGGGTGTCCTCACAGCTGACCTTTCCTTCAAATCCTGTTCTCCTCTGACTGTCTACACTGCCCGCCACTCCGAATGTGGCTGTTACCAACACTCACCTCCGATACCCCTGCCTACATGTTCCCTGTCCTGCCTTGTTTCCCATTACTTATCTCCTCTCACAGACACAGGCCTGATGGCTGTTCACTGTCTTTACTAGAAGGAAAGCTCCAGAGAGGAGAGTGCAGCTCCAGGTGAGGGGCTCCCAGAATAGCCCTGACACAGAGTGGACACCCACTAATATAAGGTGGGTGTAAGACAGTGACTGCTGAGCACAACCTGGACAGGAAGGAAACCAGCAATTAGGAAAATGTGACCTTTAAGTTTTTGGTGCTTACTTTTTAAACACATATCAGAAAAATCCTTGGACACTTGTCAAAATCCCTCAGCCCCCCTGATGGTTAGTGACTCACTTTAAACATAAAACAAGCATCAGGGTTTTGGAGCACCATCCTCTTTCAGATCTGGGCCCCTACAAACTTATGCCATCCTGGCAAAGAACCCCAGAAGCTCCTCCCACCCCAGGGAGAACAGAAGGAGAGACTGGAACACACTCACCTGCAGAGCTCCACGTGGGCAGCTGCACCAGGAGAAGCAGGGAGGGGAGACTGCAGAGCAGAGAGGGGTAACAGATGTGCTCCATGTTCTCAGAGCTGGGAGATGGGCAGCAGAGGAGAAGATGAGCCAGCAAACAGGAGGGGGGGTCCAGCACAGAGGGCCAGCTCCTAGGTGGTGACACCAGAGCCAGGATCAAATCATCCCTCATAGACAACAGCATCCTCTACAAGATCTTCACACCAACCTCATGGCTCCCTGAAAACAAGGTAGCATCAGAGACACGTCCCATCTGCATGGAGCCTGTGTGCCAATCACAGGTGCCCAGCAGCCTCTCTGGCTTTTTGGCTGATATCATCTCAAGTGGAATCCCAGCCCAGCCCCTTCCTCCATGAGCCCAGGACAAGTCCCACATTCAGCAAGAGTCCAGACAGGTGAATCTCACTCTACATTGTGAGATTTCTGCATGAGCATCTAAGGACCCTGGGGTGAGGTCACAGAAACGAAGATATGAGCCTTATTTAGAACAAGATCCTATGCACTGTTTGTGGGAGAAAGAGAAAAAAGGCAACCTTGGCCCTTTGCTGGGCTCCCTACAGCTTAGACATTTCTCAGTGTCACCTCTTCAGACACAGCCCTTGGCCTTCCTGGACTGTTTCCTAGTTGACCAGCTAGGACGTAGCAGCCTCATCCACATTGCAATGAGTGCTACATGACTTTATTGCCAGTGCTATGGATGTAGCTGATTATGCTACCACCTACACCATTAGCATTAACCACTCAGACCTACTGACACAGTAGAATGAAAGTATTTCATTCCCAGACACTCCACTTTAGATCCAGCTCCCTCATAATGTGACCAAGAAAGCAGACAAAGTGCTCAGGCAATGCAGAAAACTCAAAAGAAATTCTTGTCTCCTGGTTGACTATAGTCCTGATGATTGCAGCCATGAGGGGGGGAGGCGGATAAATGAGCAGATACATTATATCGCTTGCTTTCTCTGCAATTATGCCTTTAAAGTAAAAAAAAAAAAAAATGAACCTTTCGGGCCCAGCAGCGTGGCCTAGCAGCTAAAGTCCTCACCTTGAACACGCCTGGGATCTCATATGGGCACCGGTTCTAATCCCGGCAGCTCCACTTCCCATCCTGCTCCCTGCTTGTGGCCTGGGAAAGCAGTTAAGGACGGCCCAAAGCTTTGGGATCTTGCACCTGTGTGGGAGACCCAGAAGAAGTTCCTGGATTCGGATCAGCATAGCATAGCATCAGCCGTTGCACTCACTTAGGGAATGAATCATCGGATGGAAGATCTTCCTCTCTGTCTCTCCTCTCTGTATATCTGACTTTCCAATAAATAAATAAATCTTTTTTTAAAATGAACCTTTCTTTTAAAAAGAAAGTAAAGTTAAAAAGAGGAAAATAAAATAAAGGAAAGGAAAGGAAAGGAAAGGAAAGGAAAGGAAAGGAAAGGAAAGGAAAGGAAAGGAAAGGAAAGGAAAGGAAAGGAAAGGAAAGGAAAGGAAAGGAAGAAACATAGTCCTAATACATTTTTGAGAATATAATTAAAAGAAATAAATAAGTACACACTGCACATAAGATTGTCCTGGGTCTTCACAGAGTGAGACTTATCCAGCCACCCTCTCCTGCCACCCTGTGCTCTCAACATTCTCAGCCTCCTCCACAGCCACCTTCTCCCTGCCTTCCTACTGCTCCACAGGTGTCCTCAAGCCAGCTTACCTGCTCTTGTTCGTCGCCTGTGTGAATGGCTGTAGATTCCGGCAGGGTCTCTAAACTCAGCAGATCCAGAAACTTCAGAGATACAGAGACATTAGGAGCAGGCAAATCCACTCTCTTGTGATATCACCTGCCCTCACAGCCACTGAGTCCTCTTTCAAGTCCACTGTTGGGCCCAGGGCTCCTACTCCCAGGAGACCCTGGGCGGGCTCCCAGGAGACCAGAGCAGAGTGGGCACAGCTGCAACAGCCTCTGCAGAGCTTTGGCCTTAGGCTCACTGCACACTCCCAAAGTGCCAGCCCCTTTCTTGCTTCTGGCACCATCTGAAGTGAAAGTTGCGTCTGTATCCTGGGCAGGGACTGCCTGCCCTGTGGATTTTGCTCCCTGTTCTAACTTGAGCAGTGGCATGGCCCACAGCTGCCTGGGTGTGTCAGCAATACAGCCCTTCACAGCTCCAGCCACTCCTCAGCCCCTCCTCTCAGTCACCTTTCAGTCAATATATATCAGGGTAACTTCCAAGTCCCTGACATGTTGGGAAATTTAAAGGAAAAAAAAAATAAAGAAGCAACAGCTAAATTTTATTCAATGTGTATTAACTGTCAGGATCTAAGCTACACTCACTAGATTCATGCCACCTTCTTATCACACCTGTAAACAAAAGGTAGAGCTGAAGGGAGACTGCACCCTCCAGTATCCCCAGCTCTCCCTCCCAGCCCAGTCTAACCCAAGTTTCAAACAACTGAAAGTGAGAATGAGCTGGCAAAGGGACACAGATTCTCAGAGCTCCAGTTAATATATTGCCAGGAAGCTTCTCTCACGCAGCAGCCCAGCCCAGCTCAGGTTTTTGCTAAGCTTATCAAGGAACAGAGAGAACACCTGCCCAGGTCAGAGTTTCTGTAAGACACACCCACAGGGACCTGTGAGCTGCAGAAGTGCAGCAAGCAACCATCCTCTCCCTCCTAGCTCCCCAGGACTCTGACCCAGCAGCTTTAACATGACTATGTTCACTGAGCCACCAATGATTTCTTGCTGAAACTACAAAATACCTAGGGTTAATGCCTTACTTCCTTTTAAAACTTCTTAGCATATTTCTTATCATTTATCTGCTCCAAGCATTTTCTTTTTCTTAATTGCATAAATTTTATTTTTTATAAATTTTCTTAATTTTTTAAAAATTTAAAGTCAGATATACAGAGAAAAAGAGGAGGGACAGAGAGGAAGATCTTCCACCCACTGATTCACTCTCCAAGTGGCCACAATGGCCAGAGCTGAGCCAATCTGAAGACAGGAGTCCGGAGCCTC